TCCTCGAGAATGGCCGAAAATATTTCAATTTTTGACGCAAAGTAATGAATGTCCTGGAAACTCCAGTGATTTCCTCTAATTCTACTTGAAGAAGAAGCAAAAGTCATGAAGGATGCAATGGCTAAAATGCCCACTAACCTCTCCTATGTGCTTATCAAATGTGGTCCTCAAGCTTTTTCTACAATTTTTTTTTTCAATTTTATTGAGGTCGTTGGGGACTTGCCTGTTATTAATCAATGCATACACTTATTTGGCAAAACAGCTTTTTCTGGATTTTTTTTTTTGGAAGACTTGCCAGTTGTTAAACTGCTGGGATCAAGGACAAGACCAAAAATTTAAGACCTTATTTAAGACCTTTCTTACCTTAGTCTATCATCAGCCTACTTTAAGTTGCTGTCAGAAATGGTTGTGTTAATAAAAGATCTGCTTTTATGTCTTGGGATTCTATTCTTAAATATCTTTAAACCTGTTGTGACAATTTAAAATACTGCATATTCTAATCTTCAAATTAGGAATTCAATTGAGAAATCCTGCCCCTGTCCCAAGCTGATCTTCTGTTTTTTACAGAAGATCAGCAAAAATACTTCATAATTCATGTTATTCATAACAAAATACTCACCATAATTCCAAGAAGATGAACATTGTCTCCCAATTGAAACTGATCCTTTCAATATATATATCAACACAAAATGGACATTTAGGGAATTGAATACTGATACCTCTTTACAGTACACATGAATGTTGGCATTCTCTGCAAAAATAAAATTCAAGTGAAAAAGAGAGACGGAAGTCCCACTATGCTGGAGTCAATTTTTTAAAATTAGCTAAATGGATGGTAAATTGGTTAGAGAAACACCCAAGAACTGTTCTTACATCAATGTTAGTGCTGTAAATATCTGTTTCTTGTAATTTGGCCTGAAACTTATTTGCAGTTTCATCACAAAATGTCCCTTATCTTGAGTCAGTGTCCTCACATAGGGCATTTTTTAAATCAATTTTTATAGGAAAATAAGTGTCCCTATCCCAGCAAATAATTTGGGCGTTAACTGCTAGGGTTTACGCAGTAAAAACGGCCTTATAGACGTCCAGGGTGGACGTCTATCCAGGCGGCCACTGAGACCATAAAAAGCGGGCATTATACCCGCCTGGAGAGACGGGGATAGGATTGCCGCTTCCCCTGGCGGTTATCCTGGCGGTTTGGGCGCCCCCCCCCCCATATTCCCGCCAAGATTCCCGTTTTTTTGACGCTGTTCCCTACAGCGTCAGTGAAACTATTTCAAGAAAATTTTTTTGGCTGCTATGCAGCTCTGCATTTACAATGCCAGTACACTGTACTAGCATTGTGAATGCAGGGTGCATAGCAGCATGTTAAACACACACACACACACGCACACTCAAAGGAAAGACATGAATAAACAAGCAACCTACAGGGGATTCGAACCGGGACCCCACAACTCAGTGCCCACAGCCATAACAACTGCGCCAAACATACAACAGTGATTGGCCTGAGCAGAAATTCTGGCCAGAAACTCTAGCATCACAGC